TAAAAATTTGCTTCCGAGTTTATCCTTGAAGTTGCCAACCCATCATAACCCATCGTCCTTTTCCTAAAACACCCGAGCATTTCAATAAATGGTAAAAGTACTTCTTTCTACAGCTTAGCGTAGCTCTTTTGTTAATTGTAACAAGTGTTTTGTTTGTTAGTTTTTAACGTAACTTAGGAGCAAATTTTTGTGTAACCATTTATCAAAAAAGGCCCAAAAAATCAAATCGGCCGATATGATTCTATTGTGATTATAAATTAGGCAACTAATTCAGATCTACTTACCTGATTGGGATTAGCTGATTCTGGCTTAACCGGATTTCCACCAACATATCCCTGCTTAGCCATCTTTTCGATATGTTGACTTACTGCGTAAGTCAACTTGAATGATCGTCATTCACTTTAATTGAGACAAAAAACCTGTTAAAAAGCAATAGAAAACACTGACAAATTTGGAAGTAACATAATATGCAATACTGTAACACAATATTGTGGCGTCAAGATCACATGAAAAGCAATCCAATCAGATTCACGGATTCGGATACACCCTTTCACTTGCCGTTAAACCATACTCTACGTACTTTGTACTCCGTTCCTGGTATACTGATTTTAGCTTGTATATCATTCCAAAATCGTACGGACCGCCGATTACGGACCCTAGTTGCACGATACTTTTTTAGGAAGCTCGGGTAGAATCCTTTTTGTAAACCGACTTTTAAGTCACTAGGTATTTAAAACTTTTATAATGAACATACCACTACATTCTTAAATCAACAGATTATCAATTTCGTATGGATTTTGAAAATATTTAAAATTGGCCGAAGGTGGAGATTTAGAAGCACAATTTATTGTTGTATATTATTATCAAGAAGGTAAAGGTGCTTCTAAAAATGAAAAGAAGGCATTTGAGTGGTATTTGAAATCAGCTGAAGGTTGAAATTCCTTTGGACAATTGAGCGTTAGAAATTGTTATCGAAACGGCATATATGTATTTAAAGACAATCACATGTTGGATTTTGTTATCGAAATGGTTATGAAACGCCTCAAAACTAAGAAAAGGCAGTCGTATGACTGCAAAAGTCAAAGGACAACAAGCACAACCAAAAGAGTTATAGATGTGGAAATCATGACATGATGAATTTCTATAAAATTCTTTAGAAAAAAACAAAATATTCAATATTATGGATTCCTTAAAAATCATTGCAGAAATTGGATAAGGGCTTGCTACTGTATATAGTGCTATATGGAATTCGGGTAATCCGCATATAACTGCTGCACTTAAATTACTTTATGGTTCACAGAGTAATTGTAAGGAATTGTTAAAAGAGGTGAATATTTAATAAATACAGTGATTTTAGATTTATTTTATTTTACCTTTTTTTTTTTTTTTTTTTTTTTACTAATATTAAGTATATTATAGCTTAAGATATATTTCCATATTGGGTGTAAAAACCAACATTTTTGCGATGTTATGAAATATCAAAGATGAAATGACTAATGAATGGTTATGCGTCATGCAAATAAAGGTTCTTTGTGCAAAAAACTTCACATTGCTGCAAAAATGGAATAGAAAGAAAAATTTAATTTATTATCTAATATTGCCCGAGAACTTCAATTGATTCACTCACATAATCTTATTCATCGGTACTTGTATAGCGGAAATGTATTGCAGGATGATTTTTATAGTGCATATATTGGAGATCTAGGTCTTGCAAAAACAATTAATCATGTATGCATTATCAAAATTAGATGGAATTTATAGAGTAATTCCATACATAACACCTGAAATTTTACGTAAAGTTCATATACTTCGGCAATTGGTATATATTCATTCGGTATAATAATGTGGGAAATATCATCTGGTGTATTGGCATTTTCAGATGAAAAACCATGTTTTTAATTTTATTCTTAATGGGTTAAGACTAATAGTTGTTGAAGGTACAGCACAGTATTATTCTGTTCGAATGATAATCCAACGAAACGTCCATCAGCTTAGAAGTTTATGAAATTATCCAAGTCTGGAGAAATAATGAAATTTTTTTTATTAAAATTTAAAGAATCAGACAAAATAATAAAAATTTTATCAGTTTTAAAAATTAATGAAATTACCTAATCCTGTAAAATGATGGAATTTTTTTAAAACTTAATGTAATAATCGAAAGTGCTAGAAAATATTAATATTAAAGGAGCTTCTTCAAAAATGCTAGAAATATTCGAAATAATGGAAAGTATTGATGATTATGAAAAATGTTTATTAACATATAAAATTTTCAGAGAAGTAATTGAACTTTTTAATAAATTTAATAATTTAATTAACGAAAGTTCTAATTAATTAGCAGCTATTCACCATAAAGAAACAGTTTACTCGAGCCGATATATCAACTATGATACTAAAAGTATTGAAAATCCAGAATTTCGATGGTTACAAGCGGAATGGTAACTTAATTTCGATAGAAGACTAGTGCATTCATTCATCTGTCTTTCCAATACTGTGTCGCTCTTAAATTAATTAATGAGATTTTTATCATGGCATTCAATAGAAGATACTTGAATCCATTGGTTTACTTTTTGACGAAGGGATTTATCATTATGTAGTTTTATCTTTCTAATTATCTTATTGTAAATTGCACAAGCTACTAATAAATGGGTATAATCCATAAATTATGCATAGAATAAGTCTTTAATGCTAACTGAAATATTTGGAATTGTTAAAAATGCCAAACTCAATGAATCATTATTAACAATTGATTTTCCTATTAAATAATTGTTTTGATAATTTAATATTTTATTTTGTTGAACTTAAATACCATTGAGATGAATCGAACGGTGCTAAAATTGGATAGCTGGATCACGAGATACAACAAAACGGCTATCAAGCTAAAATGGCTTTTTTATATATATATATATTAAAAGAATACATTTTAAATTCATTGAAATAAAAATTTTAGAGAATTTTAGAAAGAAAAAAGGCATCATGAATAAGAAATTCTTATTAAAATGCCATGTAGGTCTACTTTACGAACTTTTTTTTATAAGATTACTAGGTAAAATGCTACATGAATCTACATAATCTTATGTGACTAAACATAATATTTTACAATTATTTTATGACCTTCAGTAATACTACACAAAAAGAAACATAGATTTATATAAATTGTTAGGCGACTTTACGATTACTTAAATTTATATCAGACAATTATATAATATTATTGTCGCTTATGTAATGCTATGTAAATATATGGACCTTCGAAGTTCGTGATGTATGTCGCGCGTAAGTTTATTTACGTGTTCTTTCGACGGTTATTTCTCCTACAGCCCATTTATTCGACATCGCACTACATCTGCAATTAATAAAATGCTAACCACAATTCTATGTGATGTCGAGTAAATGGAAATTACCGTTGTTTTGGTAATACAAATTATTTGCTAAATAACAATATTTTGTACGTAATACTATTTTAGACTAGTCCGTGTCTTCATATATATTATTATGGTATAACGATCTTTCAGTTATTTGTGCTTTCTCCATAAACTGGGTTCTTTTCCTCAACGTATTAGTCAAATACTTTTGTACTTAGAAAGTATTGAAAAATTTTAATGTGCAAGACGTAAATTCAAAAAACATTTATATCTGACATAATATTATAATACACAAACGACGTGTGCATTAAACCGGGAGCTTTCATTCTGCAAAATGGGGTTTCGAATTATTGAATTACTTAATACTGTAGACTATCTGCTCATTATCTTCTTAACACTTCTTTTATACCTTTTTCGTTTTAACTATGACTATTTTACTCGTCCCAACCCATTCCCTGGTCCTCTACCTTTACCATTTGGGCCAGAGGTATTATTTATATATATTAGCAATAATTAAAATTTTCTTATACTCACCAAATTATTTATAGAACCTCTTTTTTGATGGTAACATGAAACGCTTTACTGCGGACTTACATCAAAAGTATGGAGATATCTGTGAATTTAGATTGGGTGGTTACAGAAGAATAGATTTCTCTATTACAGATTATTTTGATGATTTATTATCCCCTTCAAAGAATTTAGCATTATTTACAAAACATGAATATTCACCAGCTATTGATATGCTTGGACATTTTGAACGAGGAATGTTTTGGAGTGATAATTATGAGAATTGGAAAATTAACAAATATTTTCTTTTACAATCAATTTCAACACCTGGTTTCAATAAAGAAGCTATAAAAAATACGAAAGAATTATTTGAAAAGTTGGATGGATAATGGAATTCACTTAAAAAATCTCAATTACATAATAATGATTGGTTTGAATTATATTTCAATCATAGCAATCGGCGAGCAAGGTTGCTCAATGGAAACATATTATGATACATTCAACTCTGATAAATCTAATAGACCTGAAAATTCATTTTTTGACAATATTATAGTATATAATTCTGATAAACTTACTCGAGCAATCATGGCTTACTTAAGAGGATTAATGTCCCTTTATTATGTTCATCCATTCTTGATACGTCACATACCATTTTTTAAAAATAAAGCAAATGTTCTTCTAGAAAATAAAAATTACATGTTAAAAACAATAGACAACGTAATTGAAAAGAGAAAATTAGATTTTACAAATGCTCTTCAAAAATTAAAGTCAAAACATGATTTGTTAACTATTCTCATTACTGCGAATCATAATGCAAAGAGTAAGATGACAGAATCTTTAACTGATGAAGATATTAGAGCACTTTTATTTGACGTTTTGATTGCTGGAACAAATACAGTATGTTTAATTATTTTATATGATTTAATTTTATTGTATTTATCTTTAATGTATTAATCTGTATGCTTACACACATCTTTGATATATTTTTACAGTCGTCAAACGCACTATGTTATATAATTTACTATATTTGTCATAATCCACACGTAAAACAAAAAATGGTTGATGAAATTGATTTAGTTTTTCCTAATAATTCTTTTGAAACATTATGCATAACTTCGGATAAACTTGCTAAGCTCAAGTATTGTGAAGCAATAATTAAAGAAGCATCTCGTATGACGCCAGTGGTGCCAATAACAAAAAGAGTTGCAAGTGCAGAATGCAAAGTTGCTGGGTATAAATGGCCAGCCAAAACTATATTTCAATTAAATAATGCTAGTATTCATATGAACGAGAAATATTGGACTAATCCTACTGTTTTTGATCCAGATAGATTTTATTTGAAAAATGATTTTGGCGAATTTAATGAGGATCTAAGTAATTTTGATAAAGAGAATAAAAATAGGTCTATTCATGACAATGATAAACATTCGTTAGTTATGTTTGGTGGTGGTATAAGAATGTGTCCTGAAAGAAAGCTAGCAATGATTAATATGTTATCCTTTATGACATTGATGTTCAAAAAGTTTGATGTAGAATTAATGGATATGGATGCCCCGTTGAAAACGCATAATGGTGTCCTTGCCAATTGCCTAGAGTTAAAAATCAAAATTAAACCTAGGAATCCATCTTTGTAATTTATAATTTATTATTTATATCTCTTATTATTTATATTTCGTGATTATTTGTGATATAGTTTATATATGATATACAGTCAACTCTCTCTAAGTGCAACCCTCTAAGTGCAACTTCTCTCTAAATGCAATTAAATAGTCTAGTCCCATGTTGGGACTTATAACATAAATGCAAGTTCTTTATTCTCTAAGTGCAAGTTTTTTTTAGCCAGCATATATAAAATTATTTTCTCTAATTGCAAGATATTTTATTAACCAATTAAATTGGCCTATTCAATTGAAGTTTTTTTTTCTAAGTGCAAGATATTTTTTTAACTTAGAAATTTGCATTTAGAGAATATTATTTTAGTTTTCTTTAAGTGCTAGTTCTCTCTAAATGCAAGATATTTTGCTGGCCCATTGACTTGCACTTAGAGAGAGTTGACTGTATCTACTTTGATGTTTCAATCATTTTATTGTATTATGATTTTTAGTATTAACGGTATTTGTTATTTGCTTTGATATTAATATAATTATAGGGTATTTTGGTAAATATTTTCAACTTTATTATGCTGAGAGTCCATAATTCTTTCCTTAAAGTTCGCCATTATCAATTAATTACTTTAGCTACACTAGTAACAAATCTGGTATACATTTTCGGATGCTAGACATTTTTGAATTAAAATCGAAAATTAAATGATTTTTATGAGACAATACTAGAATACTGATTCAGAAGGGTGCCCAGAATTTTGAAAATTATGAAACATTTGAAAGTTAAAAGAAATACTAAAAAATTTTATTAAAGTTCCCAGAACCTGACGAAAAATAAAGAGAAATAGCACTAATACGCATATCATAAATATATAATAAAGATATTTGGGATACTCTTAATGAGATGAAATTTGACTTGAAAACTTCAAAATAAGTAAAGCTGCCAAATGTATCAATCATTAATTGAGATTTAAAAATTAAATGTATTTTTTAAGTGATTTAAAAATCCTATTTTATTTTCAAACTGGTTTAATTGTTTTTATTTTGTATAATTATTGCAAAGAATTCACGATTATGTATGAAAAATCCATAAGAATTAAATTCCCATAAAAAATTATTATAAATTCGTATACTTTTGTAAATTTCGTAAAATTGATAAATTAGAAAAAAATATAATAGCAAATGAAAGTAAAGCTCTGCGAGGAAGCTGATTGATACATCACATTTTTAAATATATACATAAACACTTAATTTATATTATTTAATTTAAATATAGCTTTGAGAATTTGCTCGAGAATCCTACACTACTAATATATTCTGAAAATTTATTGTATCATATAACTTGCTAGATACATGACATGAGAATTTTTAATATTGTTTTTTGATTTCATTACCATCTTACTGATCTATTTCATCTAGTAAACGTGTGATTAATTCAATAATTTCTGTTGCAGTAGGTCGTTTATCAATATCTTTATCCATACATTCAAAGTTAATTTAATACTAGTAATAAAACTTCTAGGGATGGAGTCCTACGTATTAGGTCTAAATTTTAAAAAAAACGTAATGTTAGTATTGTAGCTTATCCAATATTAAGCGTAGAATGATTTCAAAGTAACTTACTAATAAATTCTTGAATATCTTGAGAAAATTAATTGTATTACCAAGTTAATATGGGAAGTATTTATGCAATAAGCATTTCCTTGATTTGACTAAGTTGAGGAGGTTCGATAGGAATTTCTTCTAAAAAAAAATAATAATATGGGGCGTCAATAGAAACCAAGCAAATCGGTAAATCAGCCTTGGAAAGCACCGTTTAGCATATACGGTTCAATGGAAACCAAGCAAATTTATTAGACACATTTGCTTGGTTACTATTGACTATTTGTTAAAGAAATTATTTAAGTAATGTGCAAATATGACAGTTTACAAGATCGGATGATTTATTTCCGATCAATTATGATCAATTTCT